AAAGAACTCTGTTGCCCTTAATAGCAATCCTGCAGTGGGATTTCCCACCCTGAGTCCAGTGGGCCAGTTTGCCTGACTGCACAGCATTTGGGTAACTTAGGTTCTAAACCACTTTTGCCTGAGTTATCTAGATTGTCCTCATTTCTCCAGATTGACCTCATTTCTGCCTTATTCTAAGGCAAGGTACAGGAGTGAGAATGGAAAAGAGATATGGGAACATGGGCAGAATATGTAAAATGTAGTGCAGCTACCCAAAATGGGTCTGGATAGGGAAGCACAAAGCTCCAGGTCTTTGTAAGAACTAGAGAAGATCCATACTTTTTATTCTCATTTCCAACACCTTTCCCCAACACCATACCTTTCTCCTTCCTTTGCCTCCTCCTCACCCATGAAGAAATGGCAACATTCCAAGAATAATATCTGTACAAAAGGGAAAATGTTAAAAAAAAAAAAAAAAGCCATGAGAACAAAGATGACTCTTAACAACAGGAGAGCCTCCCATCTTTCAAGAAAAAAATCATATTTTATTTGTAGTGGCAAACGATGAGATGGTACAACCTTTATCTTTTTCTGAAGACAAAACCAAGGGCACAGTGTCTGTAGTCAGCTGACAACTACTCGGCCTTGGGGGTGATCTGGTCGTACTCGTGATGTCAGTGGTACATGGCCCCTGCCGAAGGCTTGCCCCCTGCCCATGTACATAACGCAGTGTTCCTGTGGGCGGGCCCAGCACTTTCCGTCAATGTTGTACTGTACGTGATGAATTGATGAATAGCGTTGGTCTCTGCATTTTTCTGCAGAAGAGGAGTGATCGCTCCAGGTACCTTGACCTTTGTACAGCCCAGAGGCCAACACTGTGGGCGTGTGACTCTTTAGCAACAAAACCCATGTGGTGATGATGTGTGTATATATATATAAGGATATATTGGGAAGATTTCTAAATAAAAGTTTTACAAAGGGGGCTGGACTCTGCTTGCATATTGTACCCCTAGGCCTGAGAGTTGGGGGGTTGGAAGGCATGGCAAGAACCTGTCTCCCTAAAATGGGGTCCTCCAGGACTCAGCTGTCCTCTGAGAGTGGGATCCCACCCCCTACTCTGAGGCTTCCCCCTTAGGATTTCCATTCTCTTTCCTCTGCCGGGCCTCACAGACGGGACCTCTTCTCAGCATCGTGTACCAGTGCTTTCCGCTCGGGGCTGCCCTGCAAATATTTTCCTCTGTATAGGGTTCAGCTCTCATGACTGGGGCAGTTGCTTTTATTATAGGTTCGGAACAGATTGGGGTCTTGCAAGAGGAGGCTCCCAAGTTCCCAATGACTCAGCTCTTATGCTTGGCTCTTGAGGACGGAGGGGTGCAGGTCTCATCTGGGGCTCAGGAATGGAAAATGATGCTTTGGGGGTAGTGAGTGGACTGCCGTTCAGAGATGGGGACTGTGGGTTCTGGGGAGGCCTCTGCATGTGGACTGTTGGATCTTCGGAGACCTGAGTAGATCAGACAGGCATTTCCAACAGAGTATCAATCCTCCTTTGGTTCATTTAACGAATAGTTTATTGAGCACCTAGAGTGGGCCAGGTATTGTTCTAGGTCCTGGGGATCTAGCAGTGAAGAAAACGAAGATCCCTTTTCTTGCGTTGCTTAAATTCTACCAGGGAGACAGTAAACACAGACACATACAACTATTATAAATGTGGTGATTATATAGTAAGTTGGAAGGCGATTAGTATTATGAGAAAAAGGTGTGCCGAGAAGGGAACTCGAGGGGCCCACAGATACCTCTGGCTCTTCTGGATGAGCCTTGCTTATCCCACCAGGCTCTAATCTTGGCTGCCCCCGACCTGGGAGCTTCCAGCTGTGGCTAGGAGGACCGCTTGGGCTCCTGCTCTGGCCTGTAAAGAAGCTCTCTGGCTTTCGGAACACTGTGCACCTCTTCCTGGCCCAGGGCAAAGAGTTCCTTGGGCAGCTGGGGTGGTGAGACAGCCCTGGGATGGGGAGATGAGTGGAGTCTTGCGGGGTGGGGTGGGCCCTGGACCCAGCACCTGGCCTGTGCTCGCAGGCTTAAGGGGCAGCATGGTGAACGGATGAGAGAGACAGAGGCTGAGATGCAGCAGTCAGAGAGGTGGGAGAACAACGGGGAGGATGTGTTTCAGAGGCTAAAGCAAATGCTGTTTGGGGTAGAGGAAGTGGTTAGCTGAGCCCAACGCCGCTGAGAGGTCAAGCAAGAGAAAGACTGAAGTGTTGACTGGATTTGGCCACATGGAAGTCACTGACGACTTTGGTGAGAACAGTGTCAGGGAGGGGTAGAGGCAGCAGCCTGACAGTCACGGACAGAGAATGAGGAGTGAGGAGCACCCATTTCCAGAAAGTCCTTTCCCAGGAGAGGGCGAGCCCTTCCATGTCCGGAGAGGTCAGGAAGAGTCCCATCAGCTCTGTGGCCACCAAGGCAGAGCCTATGAGACTATCTAATAGCAGGCTGGCCAAGCCCTGGGGATTGTCTGGGCTTCTGTCTGCATCTCCAGACGGGGAGATGGAGGCCCAGAGAGGAAAGGAGCCTTCCCAGGGCTACATGTCCCATGAACAGTGACAGTCGTGGCAGGCAGGGCAGGGCCAAGCCTCCTGCCTCCCAGGACAACCTGTGTCCACCACAAAGAAGGGACCACACCCTGGGGCCTTGCCTGGATGGCTTGCTGATCTCTCCAGCCTCACTTCTCACCACTCCGCCCCTTACTCTTTGCTCCTGTCGTACTGTCCTTTCTGTGCCAGGCTGCAATTTTTTTTTCTCTTTATAACTCAAGTTTTTGTACTTTTTGTTACTACTTATCCTCTGCTCCCTCCTTTCATCTGGTTAACTTGTCCTCAGCATCCAGGAGACTGTCCCAACTCTATGAGGTCAGCTGCCTCCTTTGTGTTCCTACAAGCCTTCCTCCCTCTGTGCTGTCTATTGTTTGTCTACTTGTCTGCTTCCTGACTCAGACACAAGCTCCTTGAGGGTGACACCTTGTCTGATTTGTCTCTTTGCCTCTGGTGTCCTACGTCAGCCCTGGCACAGGTCCCTTTCAACATTTGCTGAACGAAGAGGTTCCCCTGTATAGAATCTTCTAGCGTAGTTTTGAGGGAAACATGTAATGAAAAGGTGGAAGGGGATGGATGGGTGACAGACAGGATCGTTTACAAAGACGCCTGCTCCAAGGGCCCTACCTAACGCCATGAGCCTGGCGTGGTAAGGGGCTGGTAGATGCTTTACCATTTGGGCTGGCAGAGGGCCTTAGGCTGCTTTTGTTGGTGGGAGGAAAAAGGAGGCGGGGTATGAGCTTTTTTGGTTTGGGCCCCAGCAGCTTGGTTATCATACTGGACCTGGG